AGAACTGAAAGAGGGAGAAGAAGGGTAAGGAGGGAGGGAGGGAGACAGACACCCCTGGGGTGGAGTGTCCAGAGCTGGTGCCCAAGGGAGTGGGGGTGCCTTGCCCCTTTATAGATTTTAGGTTTCCTTTCTTTTCATGCACCCTTCTTCTCTTTCTGTATTTTTGGCACCAAGGATTGACTGAGGGGCATGTGACCACTCAGCCACATCCCCAGGCCCATCTTGTGTTTTATTTAGAGACAGGGTCTCACTGAGTTGTTTAGCACCTCACTTTTGCTGAGACTGGGTTTGAACTCACGATCCTCCTGCCTCAGCCTCCTAGTTGTGGGATTACAGGCGTGCACCACCACGTCTGGCTCAATACCTACTTTTAATAATGGATAGAATAACTAGACAGAAGATGATGGAGAAAATATAACACCACTATTTATTTGAACAACCCTAAAAATCAACTGGACCTAACAGACATCTAAAGAACATATCCACCCACCAAAAGAAAATACGTTCTCCTCAAATACACAGGGAACATTCTCCAGGATAGGCCATATGCTAGGACATAAAACAAGCCCAAATTTAAAAGGATTGAAATCATCAAATATGTTCTCAAACCACACTGGAATGAAATCAGAAATCAATAACAGAAGGAAATTGCATAATTCACAAATTTGTGGAAATGAGACAACATGCTCCTAAATTACCAATGGGTCAAAAAAATGACAAGAGGAATAAGAAAACACTTTCAGATGGTGAAGATGAAGACAGCATATCAAAATTAATGGGATGTAGCTAAAGCATGGCTCAGAAGGAAACTTATAAATATAAATGCCTATATTCAAAAAGAAAATTTCAAATCAATTAATGAAGATTCTTCCTTAAGAAACTAAAAATATCAGTAAACTAAACTCAAAGGAAGAATGAAAAAAAAATAACAAAGAGAAGAAATACACGAAACTAAGAACAGAAAAGCAATAGAGAAAGTCAACAAAACAAAAAGTGGTTATTTGAGAATAACTGCAAAATTGACAACGATTTAGCTAGACTGGCCAAGAAACAATGAGAATAAAAAACCCAAACTATTAAAATC